GAATTTAATAACGTTAGTTCGCGTCCACTTCTCAACCTCTTCGATTGATGGAAGAGGAATATTATCAAACATGATCGCTTATTTGTTTGCTTAAATGAAAACAGTTGTACAAGAAATGCAAGTTCAGAGAAAGAAAATCTTTTTAGCAGGAAATAATCATACATCCACCCTTTTATAGTTTATATATACAAACAATCAGATTGTCATACAATAGTCACATATTGTTACATAATAAAATGACAATACAAATAAAAAAATTCTGCATGCGGAAACTGTGATTTATTTAAAATATTCAGATATTTCTTTATGTTACGGAATTTGTTTATTGTCATTCAAAATTAAAAAACTATTACATGAATTCTTAGACTATCATTACAGCATTGTACATTTTGTGACAGAAATTTTAATTATTCAAGGATATAACAGATGAGTTAGAAACTTGGAACTATTATAAATAGTGAAGCTTTTTCATGATTGCATTCGTCACAAAGCTTACACCTGTACTTCCACCCTCTAAAGGTGTGCCACTTTTCTAAGTAATTTTGTTTTTCTTTCATTGTTATATATTAACAGAAAAAAATAATCTATACGTGTCGAAATATAATATTTAAAAACTCTCTCCTGTAAATCTGTAAATCATAAGGAAAACAAAACAAACAAAATTTTAAAAACTGCCCATGAACTAATTATAAAGAAAACTAAATAGACTACTGCCAGAAGGCAAATAAATATTACTAAGTGCCCTGGGAATATTCACCACATTGAAAAGAGACAGAGACACACTTCTTGCCACTCCAGAATTCTTTGAACCCTTCCTTATCCCCTCAATAATAAGCATGGCACTGATGGACCCTGCCGGGACCTCAGATGCTCAGAACATCACAGTATACCCAAACACTCCAAACAACCCACCCTCTCAAAAAAGGAAGAAAACTGTACAAGACGCAACTCTGTTCAACTCACTACTACCTCTCACCTCTTGATTTACAAAATTCTAACAAAAGTGGGCTTCTCAGTTTATCCCAATAATTATCCCTATGACATCATCTAACCAAAACAACAACAACAATGACCAAACACAACTGATTTCCATGCCCCGATCTGAACCAGCACCGATCAATAAAATTAACAACAACCAAACACAGATAATTCCCATGCCCCAGTTAGTACCCATGGGGATCGACAATCAAAACATAACCGACCTCCGGCCGAGCCCCCTAACAACCTGATAGTCTCCTCAACCCCAGAATGTACCCCAGACGAACCCCAAAATGACTCAGCAGATCTCAACCCTGAGAACATGGATACACAATCCAATGCCACAGTCAAATCCCTCCTAGCCAAGAAATCATACAGCAATGCACTTACCATCAACTTACCCAAACACTCACTCCAAAACAAATCAGGTACCTGGGTTAATTCAGTCTCTCTGGCATTAGCCAAAGCACATACCCTTGACTTTGATACCATTATATGGAATAATGACCGCATACTCCAGGCATTTTTCTCGGAAGAGCTCTTTGCTAATTTCCTCCTACACAAAGCACAAACCAACCCAACCAAATACAACCT